AAAACCACTAGAAGCGAAAGCCGCCAAGCTGACAGCCCCAGCAAGCTGAAACCTGCCTTGCAAGGAGGTTTATTCCGGAGCAGGAAGGGGCAGGTTCCCAGCCCAACCAGCTCAACATAGGCCCTTTCTCATGGTATGGGAGCCCCAGGTTTCCAAAGAGCCATATCTGGAAAGGAGTTCAGTCCCCAAACGTGCACCATCACTTCGGGCTGCTCCACTGAGAGCTCCTGCTCTGCCCACTTGGCAGTGCATTGCCCAGCTCACCAGTGCCTCTGCAACTCACAGAGCTCACCTGGCTCCCAGCTGGAGCTGCAGCATGGCTGATCTGCAGTGACAGCATAAGAGCATGTTCCTTCCAGCACTTTGCCAGGGCTCCTTGTGCTCTGCTGCAGAAAACCCACTAGAAGAGGAAGCAGAGAGGAAGCCTTGTTAATGAGCCCTGCTGCATTTTTCCCCTGTGCAGCCCTGTGCATCACCCCACCAGGCTTTGCTTCTTGGTTCCTGCACCAAAGTCACCGTGCTTCACCCTCACTAGGGCTGCAGGAGGGAAAAGCAATGGTTCCTCTACACTAAACCACCTCTTGAGCTTAGGGGGCTGGGAGCCAGCCAGCACAGCCCTGTGCCTATAGTGTGCATGGCCCAGTAGGTCCCATGCCATAAGGACTCACCCCATGGCCCTGCTTGCTTCCCTGCTGCCATTTGACTGAAGCTGCATTTCTAGGGCGAGTCAGAGCAGGCAGCTGGTGCTGGTCAGACCGGCTCTGGGCACGCTGGGAGAGATGAAGATGTTGGCTGTGGCTGGGACTGGAGACGTGCTGCAGCTTGCTGCTGCTCCCTCACTGGGCTTTGAGCTTGGGAGATGTCTTCCTGCAGTGAAACGGTGCCAGAGGGAAGCAGAGATGGAAAAAGGGGAATGGCAGAAACAGGTGGTTCTGGCTTACGGGAATGAACCTGCTGCAGCATGAGTGCAGGGCTGGAGGTGTGGGGTGACCAACCACCCCCAGCAATGGCAGAGCTGGGCATTTCGTGGTAGCCATTAAGAAGGGCAGAGGAAGAGGAGGACGTGGGGCTCCTTGCACCTATGGCTGAGGGTTCTCTCCATCCCATCAATCACAACATTCATATAAGGTGATGAGAAAGAATAGGATTGTTTCCCTTTCTCCACTCCCCTCTCCTCCATCCAGCTGCTTCTCCATCTTCAAGCCCTTTTCCCAACCCTTTCCCTTCCCATGCCTCTCCTCTCATCCCTTTGTCTTTCCCTGTTCCTCCCCCCCACTTCCTACATGTCTGCAGGATGCCTTTGCCCAGACACAACAGAAGCTGAAGGGCAAGACTGGAACTCCTCTAGATGCAATCTCCATTTTGCTCAAGGATCATTAATTACCTTGATGATTAAATACAATTAAAGATCCGTAAGACCTTTCTGATATCAGAGCCATTAGCAAGGGCAGCTTTTAGGAACCTTCACCGGCAGTAAAACAAAAGGAGGAGACAGACCAGTAAATCAGGGAATCCCAATTAAAATCCGTGCTTAGCTCATTAACCTAATTATGCATTGTGTCGTGCTTGCCTGAGCTCCGCTGGGGAAGCGGTGGGGGCAGCTGCCCATGTGTTAGCCCAGCTTGTGCTGGATTGGAGAAATAACATGGCATTTAAGGGGGGGGGATTTGTAGCTGTGCAAGCCAGAAATATTTGTACTGAGCCCTGAAATGCAGTGGTGCAGCATGCACTTCCCCTAACGTCCTTGCCACAGCACTGGGACCAAAGGACACCAGATGGCACCAGGACATCCCCCTCACTTGGCTATGGGGGATCCAACGGCTGCAGCCACATGCATCTGCCCTGGGGTCTGATGTGAGCTCCCATCTGGAGCAGGAGGGGCAGGAGTGGAGCCCAGAGACCGTGTCCACCCCCAGAGCAAGGGAAGGGAGCAGAAACCTGCAGAATCCAGGTGACTCACAGACCTGCACCTTTTCCACACCAAAGTCTGAGGGTTGGATCCCGCAGCGCACAGCTGCATCCAGCGTGCCCAGCAGCCTACGTGTCAGTGCTCCAAGGGCCAGGAGGAGGAAGCAGGTCCCAGCATGTTCTGCCCAGAACCAGCCCAAGCTGTTCCAGCAAGTCAGAGCTCGATGGGCTCGGGGTGCGGCTGCTTGCATGGAGGAGAATGAGAGCATGGTGCAGCCCCTGGATCCTGTGGGAGAGAGTGGGGAAAGAGGCACAGAGCCCAGGGCAGCACGGGGACAGATGGAGCCTAGGGATGTGAGCAACCTGCTGGGGGTACAGTAGGACCTGGGTTGTAAGAGGCCAAGCATTGTGCTGAACTCTAAGCACAGCACGTGGCCCAGCAGTGCCCCTTTTGGGGATGGCACAAACCATGGGGTCTTGGAAACCTAGGACTTGGAGGAGGTGCAGTGCTAAGGATGGAAAAGCAACAGCTTCAGCTCCTGCTCAAGTCGCAGGTCTTGCTTAGGGTGCTGCAATTGCACTGCTTTGTGGGCACAGGCATTGCCCCAACCCAACCCCATTGCCATAAAGCTGTGGTCAGCCCTCACAGAAGAATTTAATCTAGCCCAAGATCAGCAGGCAGCCTCCTGCAGACATCCCAGCCCCGCTTGCTTTACACATTGACCATTCTTCAGCTGGTGCTCCGCTGCCAGGTAATTAAAATGGCTTCGCCCTGCAGCCCAACAGCTGCCTGCAGATAGCTTGCCTTCCTGCCCAAGGGACCCTTACCTCATCGTCTGGTCCGGAGCACTCGTTAGCTGCAAGGCAAGTCTGAAGGATGCAGGGATTTCATGGAACAGAGCAAAGGCAGAATCTCAAATCTGCCTGCTTTTTTTTTTTTTGTTTCCTAGAATGAGGACAATGGAAGGAAAAGGAATATAAGATAAGAGGGGAAACAAAAAAAAATGGCAACGCAGATCCTAGCTATAAGGATGTGGAAGAGCAGAGCATTTGCGATGGGAGAGATTGGAGTATTTCTCAGTTACACCGAGTGCATTGGGAGTATTCCCAGAGCAAACAGTGCAATTAGTTTGGATTTACACTGTGCCAATGAGATGTCAGCCCCCCAGGCCCCATGCAGGCTGGTCCATGAGCTGTTCCTTCCCTATGGGATGGAGGAAGGGCCACACTCACTGCTCTGAGATCACTGTAAACTCCCTCTCAGGCTCCTATTGCTGCCCCAGTCCTTCCCTTGGCACTGGGAGCAGCCGTAGGGATGGGATCAGGCTGGCCTTTCAGGTTGCCTTCAGCCCTGCAAAGCAGCAGCTATTCTCCAGTTCAGGGGTGTCATTTCCTTCTGATGAGCTCTTTCCTGAGGAAGGTGTCACACCCCTAAATGAAGCCCTTTCCTTTCCCTTTGGGGCACAGCATTCCCATCCTCCTGAGTTGTTTCCATCACCTGTGGGCTGGATACTCACCGTGCTGTTGATCTGCTGGGGGGTTCAGCCCCAAGGATCTGTTCCTCCTGTCATGCACTGAAAGAGCAAAGCCCCAAGGCTGCTGCCCCACCAGAACCAGGAAAACACTCCGTTCTGAGGCTTAAGGAAAGGTTATTTCTGTGGGATACCCAGCCAGGGCACAAGGCTGAAGCACTGTTCCCCTTGTTTGGATCAGCCAGTCTGCTGAGCACGAGTCCTCCAGTGAAATGGCCACTTCTCAGTATCCAGCCTTACTTCTAATTAGCAAGTTGATCTATTTCTGCCCAACGCCATGCTGTGCCAGGAGGACACGTCCTGTGCTGCTCTCTGCATCCCCATGCCCACTACTGGGATCTCTCTTCCAAACTTTGCCTCCTTTTCCATTTAGCACAGACAGGAATCTGCTGCCAGACACAGCCCATGGGGCTCCCACCCTTATCTGAAGGGTGACCCTCTGAACTCTCTGACACACACTAATAGGAGTTAATGACACTTATCTGGAGACTTATCTTTCTCTCCCTGCCTGCCCCACTGAAATATTCCTGTATCTCACAGCCAGAACCATTCGTGGCATCCAGATGACATGAGCACTCCTTCCCTGATGGGAGAAACACAGTTCAGACAAACTAAGCAGCCCTTTCCCTGAATTCTTTTTTTTTTTTTTTTTTCCTTTTTTAAAGATTTCATTTGCATTCATTCAATACTCATCTGGTTATTTCTGGAAGCCTCTCCACTACTATTCTGGTCACTTTACACGGAACTGAGGATGGGACTTTTTGTCCTCTCTCTCTGTGCACTATTTATATCCTTCCATCTGTCTCCTTAGGTACTCAAGCATCCAGCTGTGTTATATCTATCACCTTGGCAATAGCAACAAGTGAGGATGTTTCTTCACAGCTGTTAGCTCCCACAGCTCTAGAGCAGGGGTGGCAAACAAGGGACACCCCAACTGCTGTGCAGTTTTCAGCCCTGCTGCTATACCAGCAGGTTGCGAAGCACCAAGGGCAGCCCCTGCCAGGCTCACCCCATCCCTTTGCAGAGCTGTTCTCATTTCCCATAGATTCATTCTGCACTGCTTCTCCTTCCCTTACCTCTCATTTACATGGTGGTCATGCAGTGGTCCACAGCCATTGAGGGACCTGTGTTGGTATGTCCATTGCCACATCCCACCTACAAGTCATGGAATCATACCTTAGAATGGTCTGGGGTGGAAAGGACCACAATGATCATCCAGTTTTAACCCCCCTGCTATGTGCAGGGTCACCAACCAGCAGACCAGGCTGCCCAGAGCCACATCCAGCCTGGCCTTGAATGCCTGCAGGGATGGGGCATCCACAACCTCCTTGGGCAACTTGTGCAGGTTCTACTTCTTCCTCTGTTTTGGCTGCACAGCTTGGGTCACCTGGATGCCACAAAGCGTTCCTGGCAGTAAAGTACCTAGAATGTTTATCTACCCAAACAGTTTTCTGCAGGAACCGTGCCCATATTGTCGTGTCTGCTAAAAAATCTTCTAGTCTGCTTTGTGTTATTGCTCTTCCCCCCACTCCATCTGAAAAGAACATGCGTTCTCTTGAACAGCCTGAAGGGTAACTGTTAGCAAGTGGGAAGGCACAAACAGCAGACGGAGGAGGAGGTGGGCATGGTGGGCAGGTGGAGGGTGGGAGCAGATCCGTCTGTCAGCTCCAAGAAGAGGATGGGGAGCACAGAGATGCACAGCACAGCCCCAAATAGCTCCCGACCAAGGGATGGAGAGGGATGGGATGCTGACAGCAGGCCCAGGTGGGGAGATGCACCAGCAAGAAGGAGCAGCTTGCTCTTTAGGCTCAAGAGCTCTTGGAGAGGTTGGCCATGGAGATGACTGGGTGTTTCTGCTTGGAAACAAACTGACATTGAGAGAATTTACACAGAAACAAGATTTCAAGAGACAGCATTGGCCTGGCTTTATCCAAAGAGTCCCATTGCCTTACAGCCAAAGCATTTGGATTTGGTTGCAGCTCTGCTCAGGGTTGTGCTGAACTCCCTTTGGAAGAAGTGAGAATACAGAGGAAGTCGTTCTAAAATAAATCTGTGACTTCAAATGTAAATAATAAAAAGAGAACTTGATTTAAAGCGGGCAGAATGAACACCACAAAATAAAAAAAAGAAACATTCTGTTCCAAGGTTAGCACAAACCATTTCAACCTTATCTGCGGGCCTTTCTATTTTGTAAATTGAGTTTTGTCAAAATCAGCACGTTCCAGTGGGTAGTTTTGGCTTGGACCAAATGGCACTTTCAGTCACAACAACATGCTGCGTTGGGAAATTTTCCACTAGGTTTGGTTCCCCCTCCCATCATAGTTTTCATTTTTGTGGCAACTTTGTCAGCCCCCCGTTTCAGCTTGGACCTGATGTCCCAGGGGAGCAGCCAACCCCAGGAGCAGCCCAAGATGAATTGATGGGGTTCTCTAAGCGAGGGTGGAAATTTGGAGCCTGCTGCTCCCATCTGAGCACAGCTCGTTGTGTGCAGGAAGGAAGCAGGGAGCCCAGCATTGATGCAGTTATAAAAGCAGTCAACGTAGTAGCTATGAAAGTCAATGAAATGTGCCAATTAGGGCCAACTGAGCTATTTAACCCTCTATCTCTGGGCATGGTTTCTCCACTCTGAGGCTGGAAATGGGATGTTGACTCTTGGCTTGCCCCATCTTGTTGCCTGTTAATGGATCTTTATAGGGAAGCGATTGGTTTTTGGTTCTGACTTGTCTGTATCATAAACCTAGATATTGGGAACAGTGGGATTTAGAGGCAGCACGTGACTGAAGCATGCCATCAAGATTCAAGCCTTGTAGCTGCCCACAGCTCCTGTCACAGTTGCTGATATCCCTTAAAGCCTTCCTGCTCTAACACCCCCAGCCTGGGGAAGAAAATAGTGATACTGAACCTCCTCTGTTTGCATGCTGAGCCCCCAGCCCAGCCTGCACAGCAGCACCCCAGCTTGCTGACACATCCATGGGGCTGTGGGTGATGCTGAGATGCCTGGAGGATGCACATGCAGGGACAACTTTGTGCCTTAAGGATCCCCCATTAGTCACTCAGAGCTCTTCAACCCACCTTCTCAAGGGCATTCAGCATCAAATTCCCCTGGATGCTCCATCCCAGCCCAGGTCCACCCTGGGGCTACCTGCAAGCACAAAGCCACCTTGTCTATGGAAGGGACAATAAAGCATGAGAAAGTCCCTAGTTTTCCTTCCCAGAAGTTTTCTGGCCTCTCCCATTGCACTACAATCACTGAGTACATGAAATTCAGAAGTCAGAGTCTCCAGTTCCCCTGCTTGCCCCAGAATAGACAAGCTTTGTCCTGGAGAGATGGGATCAAATGGAGATGTGATGCACCCCCAGTGGTGTAAGACCCTTTGTAAGATCCTCTTTTGGCCCAAGTCCCTTTGAACTGCTGCTTCTCCTCCCCTGAGCATGGATATAACTGTGTTGGTCTCCCTTAACCCCCAACAGCAAACAAGCTGCTGCCCCACACCTCCCAGAGAAACAAGGAGTTTGACCCCCCCCATGGGGGGCCTGACCCTCACTCCTGCAGATGCTGTGATTGAGGTCAGCATAGGCTGCCCTATGGGTGGTCCTGTCACTTGTTTGCAGCCCTGCAGCTCATATCTCCCCCCAGCCACTGCTGGCTTTGAGCCCAAGGGTCCCCATCCTCAAGCCATGTTTTGGTAACTTCAGCCTAGCTGCTAACATGGATCACACTTAGCTTCTCTTCCAGGCTCTGTCAATAGGTTTGCTTCTTCATCACCCCATGCCTCAGTTTCCCCAGCCATAAAGATAAGAGCGACCTTTTCTATTCAGGGCTGCGAGGCATCACCACAATGCCTGCATGCTGCTTCCTTAGGTGAGAATCATCACCCCAATATGCAGAGCCCCACGTCTAACCCAAGCCATGCCGGTGAGATTGCCTAGGTGGCCTTGGGCACATTTCTTTGTCATTCAGCACCTCTGATTTCCCCATCCCTGAAAGCAGAGGTAATAATACTTACCTGCCTCTGGGATGTGCGAGGATTAATTAGTTACCTTCTGAAAAGCCCTTTGAAGACTCAGCGCTTTCCATAAACACGCAGACCAACTCCTGCAGGCGGGTGCAGGACTGAGGCAGGGTGCCCATGTGCTGCAGAGATCACCAAGCTGGAAGAGGAGAGGAATATGTAAAGTGAATTACCTGCACAGAGCCTCGATAAGAAAGCTGAGCAGCAGGCTGAAAGTCAGGCTGAGGCACCGTGTGTTGTAGATGTTGTTCTTTCCAGACTTGGGATTTCTGAGTCTTTGCCATTCTCATGGAGAAAAACCTCTAAAGGAAGAGGAAACCCATTATGAGAGAGCACAGGCAGCACAAAGGGTGCCCACCCCTGGTGTTTGGTGGGTGCCATGCCACGTTGGTGGCCAGGATTACTCCTGGTTGCCAGCTCTGATGGGGTAGGAGCCATCAGTATTTCTGTTTTCCTTCTGGTCACAAAACAATGTTAATTGTTTCTATCTTTGGACAAATTATAGCAGCACAGAGGATGGCATTCCCACTTGAAATAGTAGAAAACTTTTCTCTTAACTTAAGGAGCTCGTGAAACTGCCAGCAATGCATGACAGACCCCAAGGACAAGACAAGAAGAAAGCAAAGACCGCAGCCAGAAAGCTGTGACTGGTTAGCAAGTCTTTAAACTACAGGAAAATGAGAATCTTCATCTTCTCCACAAAAATCCCAGGCTCGGTCACCACCAATGTGGTTTGGCATGAGACTGTCACCAGATCTCGGGCATTAGAGCAAAGAGTTTGCTTCTATTGGTAATTCCCTGGGAGCCCAATGATAGAAAGGCCTTGAATTGAGTCAGGACAGAGGGAATGAGGGCGGTGAGGCCGGCAGGGGCAGCAGCTCCTCATCACACCTGAGTCAGCAGAGTTTCGGCTTTGTCGCGTTCCCATCGGGATGAAGGTTGAGTCACTGCAGCCGAGCCCTCAGAGCTCCTGTTTCCTATTCCTGCTCTGTGCTGGCAGCCTGGGGAGGGAAGGATTGGATGTGTTCTTCCTGTGCCATCGAGTTTTATTTTTGTTTTTACTGGATCTCTTCAGACTCGAGTTCCTTCATTTCGGAAATGAGGCTCGTTATGGGTTGCTATCTTGATCCCCTCTTCACAGCTCTTCATTAAGTCTCTCCTCAGCACCTGGGGAGCTCTAGTAGGGAGAATATTTAGCCCTGGAATAGGGCTTTTTGAGCAACATCCAAAGTGATGCAGAAATCCAAGGGAGAGTCAAAGCAGAGAAAGTATTCACACGCACAGGGCATGGTGAGGATGGGTCGATGGTTGGACTAGATGACCTTGGTGGTCCAACCTTAATGAACAGCAAAAGGTCTCAGGACATTCCCAGCTGAATTGCCTTCCCCTTACTCTGTGCCTCTTTCCCACATTTCATTTTCCTGTACTGCTCTTTCCTGCCCTCCCTTCCCCACCCAATTAACACTGGCTATGAATCCAGCCCCATCTCAAGCCATCAAACATGCCTTTGTACTTTCCCTCTTGCTTATAGGGAGATAGTACACAGGAGGACTTCTGTTTTTGCTTTTTTCCCCCCCTACTCATGAGCAAAGAGATGACTGTGTGACACAGGGCTTTGAGGTATTGCTGTTTGGCCACCTACCTGCTTTTCCTAGTGCAGAACTGTGGTCCTAGGTGCATTCAGGATGAACTGGTGGCTAGGAAATGCACAGGCACTGGGTTGCGATGGTGTTGGGGAAATATAAGGGTGGAAAAAACAGGTAGGGCTGAAACCCGGAGAAGACAAATTGAGGAAATAAGCCCTGCAGAGCAGCTTGAGGGGCTCCTTGGTGATGGAGACCAGCTGGCATGCAGGAAGGAAACATGACCTGCTGTGATAAGTCACATAAAGCCACAAGGGAAAGGAGATGGGAGTCCTGAAGCCACGCACTGGAAGCGCACACGGTGGGAAAAGGGCTGAGAAAAGAGCTGGAGCAAGGTCCAGCCCAAAGGCCTGGAGGAACAAGGTGCACAGCGAGCAGCCAAGTGCTGGGGCACAGCAGGCAGAGGCAGCCTGGTGCTCAGGTGTGGGAACCAGCAGCCTCACCAGGGATTAGCTGACGTGCCAGCGGGGCGGGATGCTGGGAGCAGACTGCTCCACCATGACTGAGAGCCTTTGTGCTTTGTTGCTGAGCACGGGATTTCGTGGCTTTATTGCAGGAAGGCCTTTCCCAGTGCTGTGTCAGCACTCGCAGCCGGAGCCCTGCTCTGCCAGCCTCCCTGCTCCTGCCACAGGGCATGTTCCCCTCCCCTTGACTTGAGGGTGAAGCAAAGCAGCTGTGCTAAAGTCAGGAGAGGAGCAGCAATGAGAGAATGCCAGGAGCAAAGCGGCATGGCTGTTCTCTTCCCACTCTTCAGGTTCACAGCCCTTCTAGAGAGCTGGAACTGGGCTGTTTGCAAGGTGGAAGCACAGACAGCAAGAGCTAGTAGTCTGGTGTTCAGCTCTGCTGTTTGATCTGTGGCTGCTCTCACCCTGTCATCTGCTTTTCTTTCATCTGTCTCTATGAAGAGCACCTAGGACAATCATGGCTTTGGTCTCAGTGAGGGCCTTTGTGATGGCTCAATGAGCAGACTTCCCAAACCTTCACAGAACGAGGGCAACATCCATGGAGCAGACCCTCTGGGAAGGATCTTTCATTCAAGTGAACCCCGAGGCTGCTTTGCATTCTATTTCTCCCAAGAGGAAATGCTGCATGGGCAGGAGAAGGCAACCCTTCTTTATCCCAAAGCACCTCCCCATCCTGTCCCAGCAGACAGCCAAAGGGCTGGCTAGAAAGCTCACTCAGTACTATCCATTGACTGGTCCTTAGATAGGAATATTCCCACTGCTACAATGCTAGATAAGCACCAGTGACCTAGAGTACAAAGCCCTACATTTCCTATTTACAAACCAACACTTTTTTCTGGGGGGGGAAGGGAGCAGAGGTTTGGATGAGAGCCAGCTGGGCCATTGTAGGGCTGCTACCTCCTGTCAGAGCTCATCAAGCTCTTGGCTGGGGGGAAGGGATGCTTGGGCTTGCAGTTCTTGCAACACAGTGCCACCTCCAACCTTCAACTTCCACATGCAGCATCGCCACCTGGAGCTGCCCTCTTATCTGCAGCCCCATCCCCTGTGTTCTGGGAAGGCAGCCCTCCCCTCCTATTCCCTTTGAGAGTCACTGGGGGCTAAGGTGAATCAGCGCATGACAAAGACTTCCAGTAAAAGTAGAAGTGTGCTGCTGCAGGAAGCAGAGGCCATGAGTCAAAGGCAGCACTCCTTCCCAGTGGGCTGCAGGCACTGACTAAGCAGGGTGAGGCAAGCACTGCTCTGAGTGCCTGGCAAAGCCATACCAACTCCCTCCTTGGTAAGAAGCAGGGTATTAACCTCAACACCTCAGCCAAGCACCACTTCAAACCTTTGCATCCTGCCACCTGAAATTCCCCTCCCAGGATTTGGGATCCTCTTTCCCATGTCTCACCCTGCTTAACACACCTGTGGTGCTCCCTTGGGCTGCTGGAGGCTGATTGCATTCTGCCCTGGGAAGGCTTCATTTCAAACCTTGTTCTCCATGTAAAAATAGGAAGGGGTTGAAATAGGAATTCAGAAATACCAGGAGGAGAAAAAAAGGAAAAAAAAAAAATACAACCACAAAGCTCACCTATTGCTAAAAAGCTCTGTCCCATTTCTCTTTCCACAAAGAGTTCTTGGTATCTTCTTCAAGTGCCTTTACCTAAAAGCATGCAAACCCAGGGCCAGGACAGTGCTTCTTTTAAAGATCACAGTGCAAGGAACCAGCTAAGAATGAGATGCTTGGTGCAAGGTCTTTTATAGGTGGGAGCATGATGCATTGCTTTGCCCTTTAATGAGGTCCAGCTGCTGTGACCTCCACATCTCCTTCAGTTCTAAGTGATGTGAAGTCTATTAGGACTCGTTCCTCTGACATTTGCTTCAGCTGTGAGATTGCCCCAGCAAAGGGCGGCTCAGCACAGTGCTGCCAAGGGCTGTTTCAGTGCCCTTGGGGTGAGATGAGTATCAGGGAATGGGAGAGAGAAATCGGTGAGACACTTTGCAGAGGCAAGGTTGTGCAAAGCAGAGCGGAGTTCACATGGTGCTTAACAAAGAGGCATTGATCAGAAGCTCATTGTGACAGAGCACAGTGCTTGGAGATCATTTCCAGAGCTTTCTATACGGGGAAGGGCAAGAACCAGATCCCACACTTGTAAGATCTGCTGCCTTTGATGGGTTGATGGTCAGAGTAGATCTTAGTGGTCTTTCCCAAGCTTAATGATTCTAAGACTTTAGGCACTGAAGCGTTCTGCAAAGCCTGGAGGGGCAGCAGGCTATTTGCACATCACACCCAGGTGCCCAGCCACATATAAGGCACCCTGAGCTCTGCACGGGGCCTCCAAGGCCTGGCATGACCCAGTAACTATCTGGGCTTGGGATCGTGGGGAAAGGCACCAGCACAAACCACTTCAGAAGCCAAGGTGGAGGAGTAGCATCCCAGAGGTCTCTGCTAATGAGTGCTTGGCACCAACATGTCTTTGGCTCTCAGCTGGGCTTTTTCTACCTTAAAAACAACAACAACAACAACAACACAAGCGACGACAACAACAACCAAAAAGTAAAATAAAACAATGAGTAAACTGCAACTCAGCAAGCTTCAGCCTACACGGCTCACCATTGATGTGCCGCTGCCCCGGGAGCCGTCGGGGTGGTTCGGTGGGCACTGCAGTGCAGGGTGTATCTCAAATCTTTCCCTCTGCCATGTCGACCACACGCATCACTCAGCAAAGCAGCAGCAAGGTGCACGTGCACACACACACACACACCTCCTGCTTAATACATTCAAGCCTCTCCGCAGGCTGATTGCTGATGTTATTTTCTCCTCCTCGCCTTGGCTTGCATGCTCGCTGCCATCAATAAGTGATTCGTTTGCCCTTATGAATTATTGAGTGTGTAACGGGGCCGGCCCAGCTCAGTCACCTTGCAAACCAATGCTCCCACAAGCGTGGCAGCAGCCAGTTTGCCCTCTGGCTCCTGATGGAGAGCACGGGATGCTGATCCAGCACCTTGCAAAACCCCTTTATGTCACCCGTTGTCTCTGCTGAGGTTTGGGTGTTACTGCAGCAATGCTGAGCTATGGGTGCTTTATTTCCCCCGATGGGAAGCTTGCAGGAGCGGAACAAAAGGAGTTTACAGTGTCTTGCAAAAGAGCCATGAGTTATTCAGTCACCTGGAAAGGAAACATGATTTCCGCACAGTGTTTGCTGGTTTGGGTTTTTTTTTTGTTAGGTTTTTTTTTTTTTTTTTTCCGTTTTCCCCTGAAGCCTCTAGAAAGTTTGGAATGTGTTTTTGTTAAAGCTGCTGCATGTAGGGGCCTGAAAACAGTGCTGGCAGCATCGTGCTGTTGGCAGTCTCTGCTGGCACCAGTTTCTTCCCCAGCCCTGAGTCTGACACTTTGCACCTGGGAGGAGGAGGGACCGCTCTGGCTGAGGGTCAGCTCCATCAGCACCCAGTTTGTTTTGTGTCCCGGTACAGCGTGTGCTGACGCATGGATCCCATGGCAGGGGGAGGTCAGAGCTGGGAACTGTTCCTCCCACCCAAGGCCGAGGACAACCACTCGGTTCATAAAAGGGTCATTCATTCATTTGTAGGGAAATGGTAGCGTACAGAAAGAGCATCGTAACAGAGGTGAGGGGGTGGGTTGGGTTTTCTTGTGATATGCACCACCAGCATGCTTGATATCGTTATTTAAGGCGCACACTGTGGGTGCCCATCCCATGGCCTCAAGCTTGCATAGCTCTGCAGACAGACCTTGCCCACCCCAGAGAGCCTGGGCTGTCCTATGGATGCCCAGCAAAGTGACCAACTGATGGCTTTCCATCCTCTTTGTGAGATCCAGCCCATCTCCTGCTCCTCGGGCACTGTGAGGAGGCACGGAGTCACCACTTCCCACTGCCACCAACGTGGCTTCTTCCACTGGGGTCCCAAGGAGCCTGTGGGGGGGTCATGGTGCTGATGTGGGCATGGGGCCAGTGGTACCATCTCCCCAACCCCGGGAGCACGAGCCCTGTGTGGAAGGGGAGGGGAGCAATGAATGCACGTGGCTGCGGTGCAGGAAGGAGCAGCGTGCTGAGCACACAGGCAGCCAGGCAGCCCCAAGCTGGGCGCAGGCTGTTCCCAGGGCCTCTGCTACGTGATTGCTGTTGCTCTCCTGCAAGCTCCCACATGTCCTGTGAGGCTGTGAGGGCTTCAGAGCCAGGCTGTTTGGCAGGGCTGCTGTGCACCTCCATAGGTGTGGGCTCAAACCTCCAGGCTAGAAGGAGCAGCTTGTGCTGCAAAGCGAGTCTCCCTGCTCCACACCTGCCTGTTCTTTCCCGGAATCCTAGCACTGCATGGTCCAGATCCAGCCCTGCTCTGCACCCGCTGCCCTCATTCCATCAGCTGTGTCACAGATCATAAAGGTGTTCCGTGGGGTCTCACTGCTTGGACATCCTCCCCTAGTTGTCAAGGAGAGACATCATCCAGCAGTGACTGCACTGGAGCACGAGCATCCCTTCCCTCTGCCTTCTGGTGGCACATGCATCTGGGTGGGATGGGAAGGTGCAGCCCTGTGATGCCTCTGAGGACTTGATGGCTTTGTGCACACAGGCACATGAGGGCACCAGTGCTTTGCTGTGGCTGTCAGCAGCACTGGGAAGCATTAGGCAGCACCCAGCCGCAGTGTAGGGTGTGGGGCAGCCTGGTGCTTGGCTCAGGAAGGGGGCAAGTCCACACAAAGCTCCAGAGACCGAGTTTCGGTCTTAATTGCTGCCGACTGTGGTCAGCTGATGGCGTCTCATGGCTGGGTTGGGTTGCTGAGGCTTGTGCTCGGGGTCATGGGCTCAGTGTGCAGGGGAGGAGAAGGGGAGAGAGCATTGAAGCTGCAGGAACGGGACACCCATGGCCGTGTTCACGTCCCCTCAGCTAAAAGATGTGTTCTGTTTCTCTTGCTGTCAATTTCCTTTTTTCTTTCCCTTCCTTTTCATGTTTCTCCCTCTTTGTACCTCTTTCCCTTTTCCTTACCCCCTCTTTCTTCCCTTTCCTCTCTGTCTCCCAGAATACATCCAGTTTCAGATGCTGCCAGAAGCAGTGAGCAAAACCTGCTTTTCTCGTTCTCACCGCCTTCCTTCCCCATTGTGTTTCTCATAGAAATACTGGCTGTATAATTATCAGTGCATTATCTCTAAACATACAGATTAGGGAAAGACACAGTGGCAGCCAAAGATGAATTTCAGGGTCAGTCTGGTGGGAGACATTTTCTCCATCTGGCAGGGGAGGAATCAAACGAGACAGAATAGCAGCTGGGAGCACAGCCACAGCTTCTCCCAAGCATCTTCCATCCTTCGTTTGCAGAACCCAGATGAAAGGGTCCTAAACTAAAATAAGGCCACTGAAACCATCCAGACCATGCAGGTAGCTCATGCAAGGTGTATGACCACTGCCATAAATCCATTCTTATGTGGGAGCTACTGCTGCTCTGTAATCAGGGCCTCAGTCTCTGCAGCTCATTTAATTACTGGTGCACTTCCAATAGGATTAAATGGGTGTCTGAGTTTGTGTTAGCATATGTTGGGACATGCTGTGCTGATAAATATCTGTACCTTCGTGTGCCTACGGATACACAAGTTCTGTGTACTTACAGTAAATGATGCTGTGCCTTCCAAGGTTGAAGGCAAAAGGAAAGTATTCTTGATCCAACCTGGTAGCTGTAGAGCTTTAGGGCTGATCATCGGGAAGACTGAACACTAAAAGAAGAAAATGGAATAAGTGAAGCTGTTCGTGGGCCCGGCATGCAAGAACTCTTCTTTTTTTTTTTTCTTATTCCAGGCCAATTATATGTGTATATTCATGTTTTCCCATGTCATTGCAGGGCTGCAAGCTCAGACTGTCTTAGTCAATGACACAGTCTCGGGATTTATCGGGACAGACGTGGTCCTGCACTGCAGCTTCACCAACCCACTCCCCAATGTGAAGATCACGCAGGTCACGTGGCAGAAAGTCACCAACGGCACCAAGCAGAATGTGGCCATTTACAACCCTGCCATGGGGGTCTCCATCCTCGCACCCTACAAAGAACGGGTGATCTTCCGGAACCCTTCCTTCAAAGATGGCACCATTCAGCTCTCTCGGCTCGAGTTGGAGGATGAGGGAGTTTACATCTGCGAGTTTGCCACCTTCCCAACCGGCAACAGGGAAAGTCAACTGAACCTTACAGTGCTGGGTAAGCTACTGGGCAAGTCCGTGGTGCAAGCTGTTGCCTCCAGCTAAACAGGTCTGGAAGAACCTGAGTCTCCCGTCTTGGGAACTCAGGGCAAAGGTTGAGCCTTTGGTGTGAATTTCACCTCTCATGCTCTTTCACGCTGTCCATAAGGAGGTGGAGAGCAGGGAAGCTAGAGCAGGTGGTTCATTGGGTTGTCTTGGGAATGTCTCTTCCTCTTCCCAGACCCCAGCTACCCTGTTTCTTAATGCAGGTAGAATAAGAGTGACCTGTCCCTTAAGGGCATGGTGAGTTTTAACACCCTGTGTCTGTCAGGTGAACAGAGAGGAGAGATAACAGATCCTAAACACAAGTAGAGCTTGTCCTTGGAGCATAAGGTTGTGAGTGAAGAGGCCTCACCCAACGTCTGCATGATTCATTTGCTCTTCAATTTGGGTTTCCCATACTAATATAAAGATGAAAACCTATTGCAAGAAGGGACTTTCCTTCATGTATGTGCATCCAGGGCAGGTGCAGCAGCTGCTAGCAGTTTACAGGAGCTCTGCATACACCATTAAGATCCATCATAGTGATGCTTGGTATCTCTTGGGTTGTAGCAGAGAGGGCAGCATTGCTTTTCTAACCCCTTTGTATTCCTCTCTCCTCCTCCTCCTCCTTTTCTGCACTTCCTTGCAGCCAAACCCACGAATCGGATGGAGGGCACCACGCGGCCGCTTATCGCCAAGTCAGGCAGGACAGAAAAGATCTTGGTAGCCACTTGCATCTCCTCCAACGGGAAGCCCCCAAGCACTGTCACCTGGGACACCAAGCTGAAAGGGGAAGCAGAATTTCAGGAGATCCGGAATAGCAATGGCACCATCACGGTGATCAGCCGGTACCGCTTGGTGCCGAGCCGCGAAGCCCATCGGCAGCAGCTCATGTGTGTGGTCAACTACCAGCTGGACCGCTTCACAGACAGCATCACCCTCAACGTGCAGTGTAAGGAAGCACTGGAGGGGCTGGGGAAATGAGTTTTGTGAAGGGATGATGCTGGTCTGGTGCAGGGGGAGGAGTGGGGGTTGCTCTCTTTCTATGGAGGGTGAATAGTTGGAGTAATCGTATGGTTTCCCTTTCTCGTACCTCCTTTCCCTCGTTGCCTCTGCCATGTCCCTTTGTTCCTCCCTTTATCTCGCTCCTTCGCTCACTCTCCCTCTCCTTGCCCCCTTCTCTCTTCCTGCTCCCTCCCCATTCCTTTTCCTTAACGCCGTCCCCTCCTTTTCCATCCCTCTTCCTCTCTTTGTCATCCCACTGCAGATGAGCCAGAAGTCACCATCGAGGGCTTCGATGGCAACTGGTTCCTCAATCGGAAAGATGTCAAGCTGATATGCAAGTCTGATGCCAACCCCCCAGCTCACACCTACGAATGGAAGCTGTAAGTACCTGCAGCATTCCTACCTCCTGCACATGGCATCAACAAAACCAAGGAACCTCTGTTGAAACCCCTTTGCTTGGTCAGCTCCCAGTCCCACTGGGATCACGGTGCCAACCACATCCCCACGCATCTGACATTAAGCAAAAGCAATTCCTCCTCCTCCAGGGCTGCAGCTTTTGGCTGAGTGCACCAAGGGGAGCGAGCAGGGAGCGAGGGGTGCCAGGTGGGAATTGATGGAACCTGAGGAGCTTCTCTCTCCCTCTCTTTGCCATAAGTGCTCACAAGACTTTAGAAAAAACGAGAAGATCAAATGGATGCTTTCTTCTTTTCAGCTGGCGTTTGTCAGAAGGAGGTTCTCAAAATGGTTTTGCAGAGAGCCAGCCACATTCTCTCTCATTTCCTTTCCAGATCAAACTGTTCACAATACAAATCTGAAGAGGGTTGTTTTTCTTGCCTTTCTTCTGCTTCTCATCCCCAGCTCTCTCTGTTGATTCTGCCAGCTTGCTTAAGCTCCAAGAGGGCTCTCTGGGTTCCTCTCAACATTGCCAGGGAAGTGTTAGAGGTGAAGATACCCCGTGTGGCACCCGAGGCAGAAGAGATGCCAAGGTTTTCTCTCTGCTTTTGGGCAGGTGGCTTCATCCCTTTGTTCTGCAGTTTCTCACGTGCAGAGCTGGAGCCTGAGCTCTTGCTGTGCTCCTGGGCACTGGGCAGCTCTCAGCATGTTCAGACCCAGCCAACAGCACCAATAGCACCAGCATCTCTGTCACTGCAGCCAGTTGTGAATTCTCTGTATGGCCATTTGCCTGCCTTTAGCCCTCTGTCCTTTTGAGGGTTTCCAGGAGCATCAATACTTTCCTTTGAGAAAGACCTGTGGGGAGAAAAATGGAGAGGAGAGCACAGAATTAATGAGGGCAGGTTTCTGAGCCCGACGGCGCTTCGATCCAATTTCCCATCCTCTCCCTTTTGCACATTTAGTGGGTTGCTTAGGACTGAATATAGGATTATTGACCTGAAAGAAGATGGAGAGGAAAGGCGGAGTGACGGCGGTGATGAGCAACAGTGGAGCTGTTGGAGGGATGGCAGCCTCCCATAGCATCCCACAGCAGTTTCCAGATCTTTGTAGATTGGGAATTCCTTGCAGATTGGGAACCCTGAGTCACTCACAGGCAGAGAACCAACATTGGGCTTCTCTGTTCTTCAGTCAGCATTGGGAAGGATGCCCCTTTTTCTGACTAATTTGCCATACGTGTGTGCCCGTGTGTATATTTAGGCGTGTAAAACGTGTGTGTGTGCACTTAGGCACTCTGCAAATGTAATTATACCCCATTATTCCCTTTTGTTTCTTACAAATTGCCGACAATATGGCACATTTTTGTTGAGAGGAGGGGAAAGAATTACTTGAGTAATTTTTAATTGCCTAAGAGAAGTAATTACTTTACTTTGCTTCAGTAATTAAGAATAACCAGGCCATGTGTGTCGTTTCCTAACACACAGGCTTTTAATATTTTTTTTTTATCTGCCTTTGTTCATTTATTCTGTGTACCTCTAGACGTAGTTTTGCATTATCCCACTTCCACACTCACCTGATTCTCCTGACGTGGGCAGGCCAGGCTGTAAATCAGTGCTGCTTTACTCAAGCTGAGGTTGCAATTAACACTGGCTGATCAACCAGGAATATTACAGGCAGGAAAGCAGGATAGAGCAGGGTTAGGCTGGAATCCCATCCTGTTTTCCATCCTGGAGGTCTAGCATGATCTTTCTTTCTCTCAGGCCAAACGGGACTCTGCCAGGGAGTGTGGAAATCCAGAACAACACCATCTATTTCAAGGGCCCCATCTCCTACAGCGTGGCTGGCACCTACATCTGTGAGGCTTCCAATGCCATCGGCACGCGGTCGGGCTTGGTGGAAGTCAATGTCACAGGTAGGAAACCACGTGGGCTGCTCTGAAAAAGGAGGAGGTGGGAGAGGAGGGTGGGAGCTGCTCACCTCTACCAGCCTTAATGTTGTCATAATGTCTGTTTGAATCTCCAGCGTCTCCTTCCAGCGATGGGGAGTTTGGTGGTGGGAAGGGAGCAGAGATGGTCGTTGCTTTGTGCTGGTTTTGCTCTGGTGTTGCTTGGGTTTTTCTCCTTTCCTCTCGTTGTCTTTTTCTTCCTTACACCAAGATGCATTCAGTCTCATTCTCCCTTGTCTGCTTTGGACTATAAGCCGAGACATGTCAGCAGTGTGTTTGCTGGGAGGCAGGAGGAGCAGGGTGAGGACAGGGCTGACAGTGAGATGGGCGAGCCGTTTGTTCAGGTGTTGCTGATTGTGAGCAACTCGGTGATTTCTTAGCTGTGCTCCGTCCAACGCCGTGTTCCTCTGTGCTGTGTGTGTCATCGTGAATAGCATCACCAGGACTCCAGAACAGAGTGGTGTCACAGCATGCAGGCACCCAAAAAAAGATGCAGCAGGATGGGGGGGTGATGCGCCGAGGGCTCCGTGCTGCTCTCCATCAGGTATCCCTGCATCCCAAGGGAACTGTAGCCAATCAGCAGATGGAGCAGAATAACTGCTGCTAGGGATGCTGGGGGAGCAGAGCAGCTCAGAGGAGCTGGGGAGTTGTGGTGGGGAGCAGAACGAGCAGGGCTGGGCTCTGACCTCCACCAACGAGCCTCCAATTGGCACCTCACTGCTCAGCTCCCTGCTCTGCAGTGTGGGGAAACCGGGATGATCTTCTGCTATCCGAGCGCTTGGAGGTCAGTGGATGGGATGTGCTAAGTAGATGCTAATTACGAAGTATTTATTTATGATCATTATCGTGGTAGAGGGCCTTTAATTCGCACCTCCTGGCCTGGATCCGTGCCTGCTTTGTTGTTCCTGCTATCTGCCTCTCTCTCGGGGATTTTTTGTTTGCTGGTGGAAGGAACCAGATTAACAGAGCTCTGTGTTGAGCACAGATGTGGGACAGCACCTGCCCTGCCATATCCCTGCCCAACACCCACAAAAATCATTTCCAAAATCCATCCCAGCAAGGTGCCCCTCCAGAGCATCATGTTTCTGGGCACTGGGGACAGCAACCGGGATATCCCCATCCCGGTGGTTTTCAGGGCACAGGTTCTAACATTCAGCAAGGGGAAAATGAGCAAGTTTTCTAGGGAATGACTTGGGAGGGGGGGTCTGCCTGCCCACAGTCCCAATTTATTCCTAAAAGTCTGAATTGTGGTGCTGAGGTTACACGAATGGGATGGAGAGACACAGCTCCCTAGGAGGGAAGAGTAGCTGACATGCTAAACCAGGGCTCCACCATGTAAAAAAACCCCACACTGTTAATAATTCATTGGATCTGAATATGTTTATCCAGCTCTCCCTCGGGAACGATTAGGCCAGTGCTGGGGAGGGCTCAGCCTTCCTCACTCAGCTATTACAGGTACATTTGTTTGGGTCTTGCAGGCAATTTAGGGATTGTCAGTGGACCACGAAACCTCTTTCAAGAGATGCATGCAATAAATGGAGTTCAATCTAGTGAGCAGCCAGCCTCGGGAGTGAAAAAAAAAAACAACGACACAGAAGGCTGATGCAGAGAAAAACCTGCAGCAGCCATCCCCTCCTTCCTACCCATCCCACCCCAGCATCCTTCATCCCAGCCCCAGGGAGGAGGAGCAGGGATGGGTCAGCCCTGGCTGGGAGGCGATTCGTTCAGGAGCAGAAGGCTGAATGATGCTTTTGGAGTTATAGCACATTAAAGAGATTGATAAGTGGAAATTTAATATTTTATTCCCGCAATCTGTTCCTATAATAGCTTCTCCTGCCTTGCAGGACCTTTGTCAGTCGCAAGCAAGCCATGTAGTGTGACATGTAACTATTTATTATGGGCGGCTGGGTGACATTATAAAAGGCAGTGGGTATGGATTGCCTGGGTCTACGTGCACATGCGTGGCAGCCCTGCATGGAGAGGAGGTCACATGCATGCACACAGCTGTGCGTGCCCTCCTTCTGCATCTGTTCCACCATGCAGATAGCCCTCCAAAGCTGCACGCCTGCATGGGGATGCCCTGCTGCAAAGCCATGAGGACTGGTGCACTGGTATGTGTGAGTACACACGCATCAATGGAGATGTGCAGCAGTGTATGTGCATCCCCTGGTCTTTAGGCACACGTGTACACATCAGCTCTGCACACATGGGCAGCTCTGCAGCTTTGGCCTTGGCTGCAGGATAGGGAGGGAGGCTGCAGGAGCTCCCCCCACTCTGCTTGGCTCGCAGCAGGGAGTTATTTACACAGCGCCAGCAATGCCAGCACAGCAAGGTCACCACACACAGCCCGCGGGGTTGTGATGGCTCTGAGCATGAGGGAGAGCATTGTGCACAGAGCACAGGCTGCATCCCCAGCCCAGCTCAGGGCTGCCCCACTGGGGTGGCTGAGGGTGGGGGGCTCTGGCTGCTGCTGACCCAGCGGATGGCGGTGAGCAGAGTTTGCTGCAGCCCATCTGATGGCATCTGTGCCAGTGCCCCGTGGGAGCAGTGCCTGATTGACGGGCGATAGGTGACCTGACACAGAGATTAAAGCCTAAGACATGTTTGGCATCCGGCCCAAAAGCCGTCACACTTTGACACACCCGCAGCAGCTGCTGAACTCCTGCATTGGTTGCCAGTGGTTTTTCTGCCCCCCTGCCTCCTATTCCAGCACAGGAATCCTCCAGCTGGGAGGAAAGCAGGACCCCTAGGAGCAAGAAGAGATGGGCGTGCATGAGGGCTGCTGTGAGGGAGAGAGCAGCAACGCCAGCAGGCTCTGAAATTACAGCCCTGTCTGCTGCTATCTCCTACCTTGAGTCACGCAGGATCTGCCAAACAGAACGGGTCAAAGTCCTGCAGTGTTTGGGTGTGGAGGGTAGAAAGGCTGCCGTCTGCAACCTGTCTCCTAAAAGAAATAAAATGCAATGATCCCTTGCCATGTTTGCAGACAGCATCCGGGAGCTGGGAGCTCTCAGGTTCCTGTTCCCCATCCTGCTGTGCTGCAACAGGTGCTTGGCTTGGCCAGGAAGGAGGAAACCAGAGCTCCACATAGGGAGCAGTTTGGTCTGACACACGTCCAAATGGGACCCTCTCATGGAGTTTGACATCTCCCTCGATGCCTCTGGCTCCTGTGAGAGTCTCGGCTGGTGCTGGCTCTTTCCTTGGTCTCTAGGATTGAAGGAAAGGAGATAAAAATGGGACTTCAACAAAAAAAATGTGCCCACAAAAGCAGTACCTTTAAGATATCTCAGCAGCGCGAGGAGCAGGAGGGCTTTTAAAAGCTGCTTTCCTGCCTATCATAGGAAGATTATTTGGTGTCTAAAAATATGTTTTTTTCTGATCTAGGCCCTTCCTGCCCTCGGGAGCAGCTCCTGCCACAGGGGGTTCTCTGATGTCTAATGAGGTTTAGGTCCCATCTCTGCCAGGGATCCCACGCTGTCTCCAAGAGCCCTGTGATAGGGATAATTTTGGCTCCTTCTCAGCGCTGAAGCCGGCCACCACGTTCAAAAAGCCACACAGGAGGGATTGATGGACAGGCAGCACGATTTGCATAGGTCTCATTTTTCTTCAGAAACCAACCATTATAAGCAAGATGAGGCTTTAACACACGGCCTATTGAAGCCACCCCTGCGATGGGCATTGGCGTCTTCATCTCCCCAAGGCTGGCACTGCTGCACCCATGGGCGCTGCCGGACCCGTTCCCTATTTCCATGGGATCAAAGCAAAGCTCAGGGCTGTCCCTTGTCACTGGGCTCCCAGCTGCTGCCCCGAGCTGGCACGGGGACAGGAAGCCGGGCTGAATGCAACAGCTGGCAGAGCGGGCAGCGGGCAGCAAGCATCGCTGCTCTAATTCCTATTCATGCAGCACTCCCTGTTTTTACGAGGGCTGGGGGCAGCAGCGAGGGGGAGGCTTTTTGTGCCGGCATTAAAGCCTGGCTTGTTCCCCCTCCCTGTGCTCTGCTGTCTCCTGTTTCTCCCGTCCGCTTTTCACAGCGGCTTTAATTCTCCCCAGACTCTTCCTAATGGATTTTTCACATGGGGCTCAGAGGCAGCGCACCGGCTTCCAAAAATTTCACGCAACCCCTCGAGCACAAAAAGGGGCTCCTTTTCCCACACTTCCCTCCTCCTCCCACCCCATCGGGCCACGCTTACGGTCCTTTTTACATCGCAGACACAAAAGCGGGTGGGTGGGCAGCAGGGACCCATCCTAACGCCGGGCTGTGCCAACAACATCCATTGGAACCGGTGCCCAGCGGGACCCGCAGCATCCCACCCGCCTTCACCCGGGGCACCGCACTGAGATCGGCGCTCGGAGGATGCTCGGATGCTCGGATGGGCAGCGGCGGTCTGCATCGCCCTCCAGCGGCTGTGGCACGCGTCCCCTCCCCACCACCCCGCCTTCCTTCACCCCATCTGTACCCATTTCCCACCGCCCTCCCCCCTTTCCCTCCTTGCAGCCCCGTTGCCAGGCTGTGGGTGAAGGGAGGAGAGCCGTTTGGGAGGGTTTGGGCTTGCCGTCTCGCTTCTCCCATCCTCTTTTCCCGCAGTTTGGGTTTGTTTTCTCTGGCGGCTGCGAGGAGGGTGGGGATGGGATCTGAACAGAAAACAGAGCCTTCCCCACATGAATTGTGAGCGCGGTGTGATGGTGGTGGTGTCTGCAGCACCGGGGGGTGGCATGGAGGTGGGTGTTTTTTGGGGGGGTGGATGGCATGAAGGGCATGAGAAACTAAATATGTGTGGGAAAGGTAGGAGAACATCCTTTTGTCATTTCATACCTCTGTGATTGGCTCTTAGTGAGGTTTGCAATGGGAAAGTGGGCCAAGCTCCTTCTGGAGGTGTGCACAGCCTTCCCCTTTGGATGTGTCCACTTTCCAGAGCTGGGAGGCAGAGGGGATCAGTGTGGCTTTAAGGACCCTGTGCACACCCTA